GCACCCCCCAGGCCCTGGCCGGCTGTCACCACCTCTCCGGCCCCCGTACCCCTCTATGCGTGCACCCCCCAGGCCCTGGCCGGCTGTCACCACCTCTCCGCCCCCCGTACCCGTGTGCAGGTGTCCCCCATGCCTGGCCGGCCCTCACCAGTCGCTGCTGCTCCAGCAGAAGGTCAGCCTCCTCCTTCTCTTTCCGGTACTGGTTCTCTAGGTCCTGCAGCCTGGCGCAGGGGGGAGGTGGGGGAGGGTGGATGGGGGGGAGGATATGAGGTTCTAGAGCCACCGCAGGGGGGTGCCCGACAACGGGAGCAGGGGACAGTCGGGAGAGCACCCCGCCCGCACCTCTTCTCCATCTCCAGCTTGATGTCGATGCCCTGCTGCTCCAACAGCTCCTTCTGGGCGAAGTTCCAGTCCACGGGCTCGGAGGGCGGGCCGGGGGGCGGGGGCAGCCCCCGCTCCCGCTCCAGCCGTGCCTGCTCCGGGTGGTTGAAGCGGAACACGTGGTTCTTGCCCATCACGATCCTATTCCCTGGACACGGGAGCAGAGAAAGGTGGGCTCGCGCCCCACACCCGTGGGCCGGCCCGCAAGCCTGGGAGCGTCCACACCCGGCCCCCAGCCCGAGGGCGGCGAGACCCCCTGCTGATCCACACCCGGCCCCCAGCCCGAGGGCGGCGAGACCCCCTGCTGATCCCGCCCTGACAGCCCCAGGGGGCCCGGGAGCGTGCACACTCTTCCTGTTTCGTCGGGGCCCAGGAGAAACTGAGGACGGGGTCCCTCGGCATCACTTCCCAGCCCCAGGGTTCAACCCCTGCCCGGAGCGCACGGCCTCTACCTGACTTCAGCACCAGGGGCTCGGTCACCAGCCTCCCGTTGACATAGGTCTCGGCTCCTTCACAAGGCTCCAGGGTGACCACCACTGAGCAGAGGGCGAGAGGAGGAGGGGCCGTTAGCCCTTGGGGGAGGGCGTGCCGCTCACAGACTCCCATCGTGCAGTCCCCCCAAAAGACATGCACGCGCCCCCAGGCCCGCCCCCCAGTACCTGTCGGGGTGCCACGGCCCCTCTGGCGGCAGGCAGCACAGGAAAGGAAGAGCAGAAGGAGGATTAGAGCCCCGCTGCCGTTGCAGAAGCCTCTGGAGAAGCCCCGCGGCGCCCCCTCCACCCTCCCCAGCAGCGGCTCGGCAAAGCAGGGACTCTCAGAGGGCTCCGTCCCTTGCGCCCAGGGTCAGCAGGCCTTCACCTCTGCCTCCCTGATGTCCGCTCCTTCCTTTCCCACGAACTGTCCTGGCCCAGCCTGGAGCCCGCCGGCCCCGCCCGCAGCCTCTGATGCGCTTCGCAAACTGCCACCTGACTACCCTTCGCAGCGTCCGCGCAGCAAGGCCGAGCCGACCGGACGCTAACGGTGTCAGGCTGCCCCTCGGTCCCCCGTACAAAGCACGGGGCTGGCTGCTCGCTGGGACACGGAGCGCGAGCAGCCCCCACCCTCGAGGACTCGGGCCTCACTGGCACAAAGGGGACCCTGGTGTCCCGAAGGCTCTGTGATGCCTTTGCTAAGGGACGCTGAGCGAATCGCCATCGCCTGCGGCTTCTATAAAGCAAATGATGTCCTTCCTTGCAGATGGTTGAAGGATAAAAGAACAAAGTGCTACGTGGAGCTGAGTTCTCACTTAGGCTAAGGGATAAGGGAGGCAGAAGGAACAGTGGCCTCAGGCAGTGGGGCTCCTGACGCCCGTGGGAGAAGCAAGCAGGCAGGGGACCCAGCTCCGGGGCGGAGGAGGGGAGGGAGTGACGGCGGGAAAGCGGTGCCTTCTGAGCGGAAGAGAAGGCAGCCTCAAGTCCATCATCTCAAATGATGGACAAGAGAAGGGCGTGGCAGAGAGGGTGCGCCGGCTGCAACAGTGCGGTCTCTCCGCGCCCCTTCCCAGCATGCCCCAAGTTCATTCATTCATTCCGCAAATACTCTGCACCCCACTATATGCCTGGCGCTATTTGGGGTCTTGGAAATACACTGGAGAAAAAGGCCCAAATCCCTGAGCGCCTGGGTGGTTCAATCAGCCAAGCGTGGAACTCTTGATCTCGGCTCAGATCAGGATGTCACGGTTTGTGACTCAGCCTGCCTGGGATTATTCTCCCTCTCCCTCATGAGCGTGCATGTTCTCTCTCGAAATAAGTACATAAACATTAAAAAACAAGACAAATCCCTGCTCTCAAAAAGCTCACTTCCAGCGAGTAAGACAGACAAGAAGTCAGTGAGCAGAGAATCTAAAGTCGGAGAGACGGGCATTACGGAGGGAAGCGGGCTGGGCTGGGCGAAGAGAGGACTTGCTCCAGCCGGGCCGGGCCAGCCTTCCCCTGGACGCACGGCCACCTGTACGGAGCTGGGGCTCAGAGCACGGCCCTGGGGCCCCCACGCGCTACTCCAACCCGGTTCCGCCAGCAGCTAGCTGCCTGGCCTTGGGCAGATCCCGTAACACCTGAGAGCCTCGCACTTGTGAGCTGCGTGAGAAAATGCAACACATGAGCCAGATGGTCAGTAACAACCATTCTCTGTGTCCACAGCTCTGGCTGTGGCGCCCACTCCGCCCAGCCGGCCCGTTCAAGCCTCAAGTCTGCCGTAAGAGCAGAGACCGGATGAGACCGAACCTTCACAGGCCCCACCCTTTGGGGCCCGGCATCGTCAGCGGCCTTCACCGCTACGTAACCATTCCGTGCCTGCCCATCACCTCCCCAAACGTGCTCTGAGCCCCCGAGGGTAGGCTCGCTCCGCAGGCCTTGCATGGTTCGGTCAGGACCTAGCATGTGGCTTGAGGTGACGGCAGAACAGGAACTCGGCCATAAGTCACTGGGCTGAACTGGCTCGACAGCCTGCGGCTCGCAATGCCGGAAGCATCTGCTGGCCACCAGGGACTTGAATGAGACCAGAACCTGCTGACCCTGGACCACAGTGCAGCCCAGCACGCAGGTGTCAGACCTGAGCTGTAAGCCACACAGCAGTCTCTTCTTACTTAAAAAGCGTGCTGACAGCGCACGCCCATCTCCCAGCCCTGCTGCAGACCCCGAGGCACAGCGGACCCGCGCCAGGCTCCCGGGGAAGGAGCGCTTGGATGCTCCCTGCTCGAGTGCCCCCTGCCTACACGAGTCCCGGGGCTCAACCTCACTCGGGCCTACGTGCACCCACATGATTCCTTTTTAAAAAAATGACTGGACCAGGGGCGCCTGGGGGGCTCAGTCAGTTAAGCGTCTGATTTTGGCTCAGGTCATGATTTTTGGGTTGTGGGTTCGAGTCCTGCGTCAGGCTCTGTGCTGACAGCTCAGAGCTTGGACCCTGCTTCCAATTCTGTGTCTCCCTCTCTCTCTGCCCCTCCTCTGCTTACTCTGTCTCTCTCTAAAACTAAAATAAAACGTTAAAAATATGTATATAAAGACTGGACCAGATAAAACGGTGAGCTCACAACACGTCCAGGAACTCACAATACCATTCTGTCGCAAGAGCAGACCGACTGTCCCCTTGGCCCTTAGCTCTCATGATTCCTCAAAGCTTTTACTGCTGCAGCCAAGTTAGGGCTAAAAGTCTATGGAAGTTTGGGACCAGAGGGGCACAAGGGCCAATGAACTCCCGGAAACCTCTGCAGCTACAGCTGGATAGAAGCGGGAGAGAAAGTCAGGGCCCCACGGAGACGGATGCGGCTTTCCGTAAGAAACCACCAGGGTCCCGCTGAGGCTACACCACCACGGATGAAGCAAGATCGTCCTCACCGGAACCTCCCGCCCCCCCGCATGCCTGAGTGTCCTGCGTCTGCCGTGGCGACCCCGCCGCCCCTCGCCCGCCGCAGCAGACCTCATTCCCAGGTGGGCGCACCTGGCGGGGTCCGGGACGCTCCCCCGCTGCTTAGCCCGAGCTCGAAGCCGCTCTGGAGACAGGGACACGTCCCCTCTTACGCGGCCACAGCCCCAGCGTGGGGACCCATCCCAGGCCTCCGCACTTGGTGGCCACTGGGCTCCCGCCCCCCAGCCGTTACCTTCCCCGTCCGGCTGCGGGACGCTCCGGAACGCACAGTGTTGCTCCCGGATGAACTGCCCGGTCAGCTTGATGTCCACGTCCACCTGGCCGACCCTGGGGACGCAACGGCCAGCACTGTGGGCACGTACCACACCCACCACGTCCCTCGGGGCGCAAGCTCGCCCAACTCGGTGAGCCAAGCAGTCATTCCCGGTTCCCGGAGGAGGAAGCTGAGGCTCAGAAAGGTAAAACAACCCGCCCAAGGTCACACACCCTGGCTGTGGGGAAGCTGGGACTCCAGCTTGGGGCCTGCCCAGCGCCAAAGCCTGGGTCCTACCCACGTGTCCCACGCAAGGGAAAAGGGAGCCGGGAGCGCAGCGGGCACCCCGAGCATGGGCCCCCCACCCGTCACTTCAGACCCACAATCATCAGCCACAAATGGCTGTGTTGGGAGAGGGGGCACCCTCACCCCTCCCACTCCAGGAGGTGGCCTCTGAGCCCCCGAGCCGCAGGGCTTCGTCAGAGCAGCCCGCAGAGGCCCTGCCACGTGGGGACTGCTCCACAGGAAGCTACATCTCCCACCGCCTGGAAGGCAGCGTCACACGAGGGGGTGCCAAGGCTGAGACGGTGGCAGTCTGAGCTCCCCCTCCCACTCTTCGGCCCCAGGAATCGGGACTCAGCCCCACAAGCAAGGCTGGCGGGGGAGGGCACGGCCCCTGGGCAGCCAGCTCACAGCGCAGCAGGGAGCCCCAAGGGCAAGGCAGGCAGCTGTCCTGAGACCTGGGGCGTCTCCAGGAAGGTGAGCAGGGGAGGGAGTCACCAGCGAGGCCGTCTGTCTACAGCCACAGCCCGGAGAAGAGGCTACCCCAGACTGCGGGGCAAATGCTACCTGGTAACGCCGTCTTTGATGTGGTAGAGCAAACACTCGGACATCAGGGGGTCTTCATTCAGGTTCACCAGGTGGGGGGTCTGAGGGGAGAGGGGAGTGGTCAGGGGGGCGGGGGAGGGAGCTTCAGCAACATCCCCCCATGTTCCAGCACGTCGACTGTGCCCCTACGCAGGGAGCTCCCCCAGCCGCCCGACCCCCGCATACAGGACGCCGCAGCCCGGTGGGAGCTGCCTCTCCATACACAGAGGGGCCCAGGAAAGTGGCCACTGCGTCCCCTCCCACCTCCCACAGCCCACCCATCCATTCCCCCACAGAAACCTGGGGATCCACCTGCCCCTCCTCTACATTCCCTACACGCCCTGCCTGTCCCTGCCTCATTTTTTATTTTTTTCAATTTTTTTAACGTTTATTTATTACAGAGACAGAAATACAGCATGAGTGGGGGAGGGGCAGAGAGAGAGACACACACAGGATCTGAAGCAGCTGCAGGCTTGGAGCTGTCAGCACAGAGCCCATGTGGACTTGAACCCACGGACTGTGAGATCATGACCTGAGCCGGAGTCGGGTGCTCGACCGACTGAGCCCCCCAGGCGCCCCTCATTTGTTCCTTCAAAACGCATCCTGCCCCTTCCGGAGAGCACAAGCGGGCACAGTGTGGGGGGCCGGACTCCCCACCGGCCTTCTAGCTTGTGTCTTAGGAACACGGGTGACTCTTACAACCAAAGAGCGAAAAGCATCAGCTCGACTCCAAAGCGGGTGGAGCCAGCACAGCAGGTTCTCACAGCAGACGCCTGCCTCACCTGAGTGGGGGTCCTGTGGCCGCTTCCCCAGAAACACCTTCTCTGGGTGGCGTCTCTCTGCTGACACCCCCGCCCTCCACAGGCTGTACCTGGGCAGCCAGGAGAGCTCGCCTGGGCCCCCCACCCCCTCCCGGCCTGGGGACGGCTCTCACCTGCTGCCCTTTGTCCCCCGGCCCCAGGTCTGCCTTCTGCACGGGTCTCCAGCTTCCAGCCCTCACCCCACCACTCAGGCCCCCCTGGTGGGCAGCCCATGGCCACCTGATTTTATGCTGGTCCCCTGGGTGTTGTCTGCGCCCCAGCACATTTATCCACACACCCTTCCAGAAGCAGGGCCCCTGCATCCCTGGCCGCCCTCGTGGGCAGCTCTCAGGTTCCCTCGCCGGGAACAGGGCTGCTCCTGGCCCCACCCCCACCCCACCCGTCAAAGTCATCCACTTCCTGCCCCGCAAGGTCGATCTCAAAAGCCTGCTTCCTCAATGAAGCTTCTTAAGCCTCCCGCCACAACGTAAGATGCTCCGGTTCCAGAAGGATCTACCGTGTACTTTCTACAGACAAGACCCTGGTGGAGTGCTGGGCACTGGGGGACAAGCCCGCGGCTGTAGTCAGTAGGACCCTTCAGAGTCACCTGCGACAGCGAAATGGATGCCCTGCGGTGCTCTCTGACCCTTCTGGGCCCTCCTTAGCTCACTCATTCATTGGCTCCTCTGTCCCCAGGGAGCCGAGCTCCACCGTCAGGGAGCGGCTTGCGAGAAGGTGCTCTTCCCTGAGCACGAGGAGGAGGAGGGAGGAAGGAAGAGCGCTTCGGGTGAAAGAAGGGTCGGGACGAAAGCCCTGAGGCAGGAAAGCACAGGGCTAAGGGCAAAGGGCCACGGTTCTCCGAGCCCCCTGCACGGAGCCCCACGATGTCCACGGTGGATACGACGTGTGTCCATATGTGCGCCCCACCCGGGCACCCGACCCTCACAGCCGCAGCCCTCCTCCCGTCCCCAGGGACCCCCACACCCTCCCCACTGCGGCGTCAGGCCTGCTCTGGGAATGACAACCACCGATGGGCTCTGGCAGCAGAAAGCGACCCGTCCCTTGGGAGAGGGGACACGATTTAGGGCAGCGCTTTTCAGTCTTTGTGCAGCCCTGGAAGCCTTTGTTCCCCCGAAACCGTACCTGGCAGCCTAATACGCCAAGCAGATACCCAGGGAGACGCTGGGCCGAGGCTGGGGGGGGGGGGCAGAGTCTGCTCCTGCCCACCCCCTCCGTGCCCCTGAAGGAAGCTCCGAGCCCAGTTTGAAAATCACTGATTGGAGAAGTCCCCGTGCCTGGCGGTGGGAGCCCAGAACAAGGGGCCTTCCCTCGGGCTCTAAGGCCTCTCGGGGACAAACCAACTTCTCCCGGAAGACCCGATCCCCATGGGAGCACCCCAGGTGGGGGCACCCCCAGGTGGGAGCCGCCCCCACCAAACCTGTCTTCCGGAGATTGAGCAGCCCTTCCTTTTGAAATATGCACGGCTTTTCACGTGAGGATGTGTGCAGCCTCTCCACCTTGAGCGACTGGGACCGAGATCTACCCTGGCCCCTTTTCCTCCAGGGAGAGCAGCAAAGACCAAAAAGCTGACGAGGGTGAGGGAACTCGGGATGTCCTGCCGCTGCTCTGGGGAGCACGGTTATCATCTCTGGGGAGCACTCAAAGAAATACATCGAAATCCCATACGGTTCTCCTGACTCCAAATCCTCACCCCTAGGACTTTATCCTGGAAACGAAAAACCTTCCGTAAGGCCACACGCCGAAACGCTGCTTATGGCGTCAAAGGACGGGAAACAGCCTGAACGCCCGTCAGTAGGAAGCCGGTTAAATAAACGATTCCACATCCACGCGAACATTCTGGCACCGTGAAAAAGGACACACAGAGCACGGACACACTCTAGCACGAGGAGCATCAGGCACGGGACCATGGCTGCCCCAGAGGGGGGCTGTATGTGTGCACAGTGCACAGTTGTGACACACGCCGGTACGCGTGTCCGTGACACATGAGAAACGGAGGCCCGGGGAGGCCTGACATGTGTGTTCCCCTTACAAGAACTGAAAACAAGACCCCGTCCGCTGGTCCCCGGGCCTTGGTAGGTGGCACCCCCACGCAGCGAGAGGCCCTCCAGAAAAGAAACGGCCCCCCACCTTCCTGCTAACGCCGCCCCTGCGACGGAACCCCCAGGCACACAGCAGCCCCATGTGGCTGTAAGCCACGCAGGGAGCCGCCCATGGCCCCGTGGCCCAAAGGCAGGCAACAGAGAGACCCGAGTGCCCAGCCTTGAACAGGCCCCCATCGCTGCCACGGCTCTCTGGCTCCCGGAATGGGCCTCAGGCCAGGCCGGGCCAACCCCCCTCCTCTCCCTGCATCCCTGCTTGCTGGGTCTCCTGGACGGCTCTGATCTTCTGGATCAGGAGGTGCCTCCTTCCAATGACCCAGACCCGCTCTCAGGCGGCTGTGAGCATAGCGCACCTGACCGGAGCCTGAGCCCGTGAGCTTTGTACCGCGGCCCCGACACGTGAGGCTGGCTCCCGGGCAGGGCCAAAGTCCCCACTCTGCTCGAATGGCCTCCACGACGCCCTCTCCTGGACGCACGGGCACAGGCGTCCCGCTGGCCTGCAGCCTGCGTCCACCCACACTGGCCAGGCCCTGGCCGGTGCTGCCCGGTGAGGACCGAACACCTCTCCCGCCTCCTCCAGCTGAGCCCAGCCGCCCCCTGCTTCCCTCCTTCCTCTCAAGCACCCGCCACACACTGGGCGTGACAGACACTCGTGTGCCCTGCGCGGCCAGCACTCACCGTGCTGCTCGGCCCGACGCCCACCCGGCCCCTCCGCCACCCCCGTCCTGCGCCTCCCCCTGCGCTGACGCACCCTCACACCCCTGCCATGTTCACAGCCAGGGTCCCGCGGTTCGCTGCCTGCCCTGGGCTCCTCCCTGCGGCCCCCGCAGCTCCCTGTTCCCGTGACCTGCTCGCGGGGCGTCTCAGCAGGCCACGTGCACGGGATGGGAGGTCATTGCCACCCCAGCCCACCTCCAACCTCCCACCGCCTCCCCTGCTCCTGGGTCACTGCTGAGACCAGCCTGTGAACCCAGAAACAGTCCCGTGCGAATTCACATGCCCGGTGGGTCTAGTTTGTTGACACACAGATTCCAAACAGCTCTTGAACCCCCGAGGGGCAGGGACGCTGGTGTCCTTCCGCGGCCCCTGGAGCCCACAGCCACCTAACAAGGCTCGCCTCAGGCTGTCGCACGGAGGCCGGACAACACAGAGGAGGTGGCGGGCGTGGGGACAGAGACGACGGGGGACAGACTCAGGGATCAGAGCTGGGGCTCACCCCGGGCCCTCCCAACCCCCTGGGCTCCCGGGGTCTCCAGGGCCCCCTCAGCGGATCCCTCACTCACCTTCTTAGGAGAAAAGACGCCCACGGTCCCGCCGTCCTCCCGGACGGCCACCCCCATCTCAGCCAGCAGCGCTTCTCTGTAGCCAAGACACGGGGGCGTGAACGCGAACCCCTTCCCTGCGGACCTGACCCCCCGCCCCCCCGCGCCGGCTGCCAGCCCGCCGCTCCCACCTCTCCATCCTCAGGGCTTCTGTCTTCCGCAGCTTCTCCTCCCAGGTCTCGTTCAGCTCGGCTATGATCTTCTCTGTCTCCTGCGGGCGCGGGACAGGTGTGAGGCGGGGCCGTCTGGGACAAGGACCCGCCACGGGACCACACTACCCCTGGGACCCCGTCTTCCCCCTCGGCTCCGGCTCTGGAGAACTAGACCCGCAGCAGCCGCGAGCCTCCCCTGCCAACCCTGCAGCCCGGCCTCCCACCTGCAGCCGCTCCATGGCCTCCTCGGGCCCGATCTGGGGCTCGGTGTGGGGGGAGAAGGATGGTTCCAGTTGCCCATTGTGTGCTGGGGAGCGTGAGGGGGACGCAGGGGCAGGAGGGGGTGACACGGCCGGCAGAGTGCCTCCAGAGCTCCCCTCGTCCACCTTCAGGCCTGGAGGGAGACGGAGGAGAAAGGAGGCTAAGACGCGACGGAATGGAGCAGAGGCGGGAGGCGGCCCCGCACAGGACCCGCCTGAGAGCACCGTGGACGTCATCTGGTCAACCTCCTCCAAGCAGGGAGCTCTCCTACGGCCGCAGTGACCAACGGGTACCCGGCCTCTCCTTGCTGCCCCCCAGGGGTACTGCACTGTGGTGACCTGACAGTCAGAGGGTCAGCTGTGGCCGCGCCCCGCACCCCGCTGCGTGCGCCCTCGTGCCCAGGTCTGCCTTCCAGGAGAGAGCCTGTCTGTATGGCACTCGCTCCTGCAACGCTACCGTTCGGAGGCGGAACGGGAACCCTGTCTGACTTCCCGTACCAGGAACAGACACCCCGTCCTTACTGTGCCCCCAGCCCCCCGCTGTCTGCTGCAGGATGGTCCTGGGACAGGCAGTGGAGCACGGATCACGCAGCCTCCATCGAGGACACCAGCGGGCAGGAGCGAGGCTGGGCGTTATGCCGTAGACACCGGGCCGCGACTCGCAGCCAGCTCCGCCCCACGTTCCGTAAGAAGGGTGGTCAGGGGCGGTGCCCCCGCGGCCCATCCTGACCCTTCCCCACTTGAACCACTCTCGGCGCCGGCTTCAGCCCCTACGCCCTCGCCTCAGCAGCCCCGGCAGCCTCTCCGGGCCCCTCACATCCCTGAGCCACCCCTGAGGAATCAGTCCCTCCTGGCTCTGAAAGGTCTGAAGGCAGAGCGTCCCCCTTCGTCGCCCTCCATGCCCGTTTCCATGCCACTGCGCACACAGAGCTTCGTGGCCAGGGACCTCTCTGGCCTCGGGCCCTGGTGAAGGCCACTAAGTGTTGGAGCGGGCTGAGGGGTGACCGTGAGCCACCCTCCCCTGGAGCCCTACCTCCCAGGGCGGAGGCGGACAGCCCCTGAGCCAGGAGCAGCTCCCGCAGCCGGGCCACCTCCTCCTGCAGCTCTCGGATCAGCCGGGCATTGGGGTCCTCGTTGATGACGGCGTTGCAGCGGATCTGCTTGGTGCGGTCAGCGTACCTGGGGAGAGGGATGGGGAGGGGTGAGTGCAGCCCAGACACGGGCGCCCCCGCCCCCCACCGCATCCCTCCCTCTCCTGACTCTCAAATCCTGCTCAGCCTGTCTGGCAGGCAGGGTCCTGAGCCACCGGCCTGAGCCCCACCTGAGGGTGCTGAGGGTCTCCTCGTAATTGATATCTGCAGGGCTCAGGGCTGCGATCATGGCCGTGCGGGAGTTCCCACCTGCAGAGGGACAGGGAGGCCCCAAGAGAAATCAGTCTGGGGCTTGGAGTCAGAGAGCCTCAGTGCCTCAGGGGTCGCCGTCCCAGGCAGGGTGAAGCTATGAGTCATGGACTAGCCTTGGTGGTGGTCAGAGAGGGGGACGCCCCAGACATCTTCTGGATGGTCACAGAGGGGTCGCGGGGAGCCCTGCGGTGAGGCCCCGGCTCAGTGGGTCCTCAGCAGCAGGAAACCTACCAGGGACGTTCCCGGGGCAGGGGACGACGGGGGGAGGGGAGATTCTAGGGGCGGCGAGGGGACTCATCAGATGTGTCAGAGGGGCCGGCGGGCAGGGCAGAGTCAGAGGGGAGAGGGGCGCGCCTCACCCAAGTTCTCCTTGAGCAGCCATGTGAGCACGGAGTCCCTGTAAGGGATAAAATCCGACTTCCGCTTCTTCGATTGCTGGAGAATAGAGGGGAGGGGTCAGGCCGGCGCCCCTGCCCCGTGGCCCCGAGCTGCCTCCCCCAGCGCCAGCTCTCACCAGATCCGCCAGGGCCGAGATCACCTTCCCCAGCGTAGTCAGGGACTTATTGATGTTGGCCCCTTCCTGGGAAGGGACGAGGAGCATGGGAATGAGGCCCTCCTTCCTGATACCATCCAGGTCCCCCGCCCCTCCCCAGCCAAGGACCACCATGCGCAGCCCCCGCACTGACTGCAGCCTCCCCTCCTAAGCCCCCTCACCTTCAGGCGCATGCCCCGGGCCCCCGAGGAGTCGGCCCGCTCGCTGCCGGCAAGGTCCACCAAACTGATCTTACTGACCTGGGGTCAGAGGAAAGGGCAGGGGGGCAGGGGGTCAGGGGGCCAGAAGCAGGCAGATCTGGGGGCTGCCCAGCAAGGGGCTGGGACAGGTGGCGCGGGGGGGAGAAAGCCCACCTTCTCGGAGTCTAGCCCAGTGAGCTGGTCGTGGCAGCGCTGCGTGAAGACAATGGTGAAGACGGCGTGCGAGCGGCTGCTAGTCTCGTTCATGTTGGTGGCGGCCACAGTCCTGGGTGGGGACGGGGGCGTCACTGCCTGCAGCCGCTCACCAGCCCAACGCTGGCCCCTCCCGCTCCTTCAGCCTGCCTCACCGGGCCTTGTTTCCACAGTCCATGAGGTCGGCAATGTCCGCATAGGAGGTCACAGCCAACTTAGACAGGTCCTGCACGTAGGGGCCCAGGATGGGGTGCTCCCGGACCCGCAGAGAGCCCCGACTCTTGGGGTTCAGGAGGTCTCGTACCCGCTCACAGTAGATCTCCATGTAGCTCACCTGAGCAGCAGAGACGCAGAGGAGGTGAGGGAGGAGCGAAGATACCGATGACAAAACTCCCCCTGTGGTCCCAGGGACGTGGCACAGGTGACTGAGCCTGGTGGACCCTGGGCGTGGATGACGGCCACTCCGCACACGCGGGCTCACCGCCCCAGCACCCCCGGGAGGGGCCTGTCTTTATCAGCGCAGAAGCGAACGCGCTCAGGAGCTGGGACGTGGAGTCACAAAGCCACGGCTAACGGGGGGGGGGGAGCCCAGAGCAGGCCGGGTGCTGCCTGACTCCTGATACGGCCCTCGGTCTTACGCCAGCCCAGGGCCGCCATGCCCCCTGTCCCCGCCCGTGCCCCTGCCGAGGCCCACGCTCACCTCCACGGAGTAGGACAGCTCAGCACTCTGGTTCTTGTTAACACGAGAGAAGAGGTCCTCGCAGAGCTGGAAGGGGACACGGAGAAAGTGCTGTTTGCGGCGCACCCGCCAGGCCCTGTCCCAAGCAGCTCTGTCCACCCCTCACTGGAGCTCCGAGGGAGGAGCTGTTCCATTTCGGAGGCGGGAAAACAGCCTCAGGGAGGCTTACACTTGCCCGGGGTCACAAACTAGTATTCAGGTGGCCAGGCAGCCAACACAGATGTCCTAATGTCACAACCCATGACAAGGCCCCCGGGCTGCATGGTCGGGAAGAACGACGGCCCACTTCTAGTTATCCACAGCCGGCCGTTTCCACCGTCACCGTCACCGTCACCGCTCTGCCCACAGCCCATGTGTCCGTGGGGCACCTACGCTGGTCAGTGACCTCGAGACACCACTTGTGCCCTCCCGCCCCTCCCCCACACACCTGGGGCACGATGCCCTGCTGGCCTGGCTCTTGCCGCCCCATCATGGTGTAGGACTTGCCGGCCCCGGTCTGCCCGTAGGCGAAGATGCACACGTTGTAGCCCTCGAAGGCATGGAGCAGCATCTCCTCTCCGATGTCGCGATACACCTGCTGCTGAGACGCAAACTGCGGGTCCTCAGCCTGGGTGGGACGGGGGCGAGAAGGGCAGCAGGGGCCTTAGGTGACCTTGTCTGCAGCGGCTAGGTCCCGAGAGTCTTGCTCCTCTCTGATGATTGCCCCCAGGTCCTACGTGCCCCCAGCAAACCCCATCCAGGGTCCTGGCCACCTCTGAGAGACCCCACGCGGGCTCCTGCCAGACCCCGTTATCCCCGGGGACTCGCCCTCCCCCATCCTGGTCCCAGTCACAACCTAGGGGTCCTACTCACCCTCACCCAGGGTCCTGTGCTCCCAAGCCAGTCCCAACCCGGGACACGGAGGTCTTATTTCCCAGCAGCACCCTCTCCCCAGGACCTAAGCCCTGTCCCTCTTTGCTTAGCTCTTCCCCCGCGCCGACGGCCTCACCGAAGTGTGTGACCAGTACGAGTAGTCAAAGGTGAAGCTTTTCGGGGCATCCTTGCTCTGTTTGGGGTTGATGATGGCTGAGGCGGCAGACGGAAAAAGAGGAAGGCCAAGGTCAGGTACCCAACTCCTGCCCACTCCCCACCTCTGTCCTACTTCATGTCTCTCCTTTAATACTCCCCACCCCCTCCAGGCACTGAGGCTAATTTTGGCTTCCCAGGACCCGCCCCCCACCGGCAGGCTCCCGATTGGGCAATGGGAGGCTCCAGGCCAACATTCCCCCTCCCAGGGACTGGTCGCAGGGAAAGGCCAGGCTGCCCCCGCCCTGCCCCCGCCTTCTGCCTAGCACCTGCTCCTGGTTCGGCCCAGCGGGACTGGCCCGCACAGTGGGCCCGCCTGCCCTGCCTATGCCCGGCCAGACCCCGGGGACGCACTCACAGGTGGTGGTGCCCTGCATGCTGACCACACACTTGGCATCCTGGCTGGTCTCACGGGCGTTGAAGGGCCGAACCCTCACGGCCACTTTCACTGAGGCGCCAGCCATAGTTCCAGATACTCTCGCTGTCCTCAGCTGGAGGACAGAGAAGGAAGAGGCGGTCAGAGCCGCTGGGGGGCCCCAGACATCTGCCTCCCCTCTTCTCCCAGGAACCAGCCTCTCCACTGCGTCCCCAGCTCCCAGAGGACCTCTAGGCCTCCTCCCCAACGTCACTGTCCCCAGGGACTCCCGAAGGTGTTCCTGCCCCTCTCCTCTGCCACATCCCAGCTCACAGGGACCCGGGCTGTCATCCCAGAGTTACCTGGTGTCCCGGCCCCAGACCAGGGGGGCTGTATCAGCTCTGGCGCCCACCGGCCCTCGTGGGGGAAGCCCCATCCTACACTTGGGGCCTGGCCACACCAGCTGGGGCTGCGGGGGAAAGCCTGGTTGTGGGGGAAGAGTGGTTAGGAGCGACCCCTGTGGCTCCAGAGGTGTGTCCGGGGCTCCACGGCCACAGGGCAGGGGGTCACGTTAGGAAAGGTAAGGACGCTGTCCCGCCTGAGTGGCTGAATGCAATGTGAATCCAAGGGCAGGGACCGTGATATTTTTATTCCTTGTCAGTCACAAGTGTACCGAGTGTCCAGACGGGGAAGAGAGAGAGACACAGGCTGGACAGACGGAGAGACAGACGCACAGGCAGAGACACTGGAGGTGGCAGGAAGAGAGGCAGGGGAATGGCACAAAATCAAAGACACCAAGAAAAGGAAAGACAGGAGAGAGGAGGCCAGATTCAGGTCACGCTACGAGAGAAGTGACAGGAGTCACAGAAGAGAGCAAACAGAAATGTGAGACAGGGATGGGAGCTCTGGGGCAGCAGCACGGAGTGGGAGTCCAGAAAAGACAAGCAGGAAACCCCCAGATATAAAACCTGCCCTGAAATTCCCCCACAGGGTCGGCCAAGAAGTAGAAGCCGGCTCCCACCTAGGGCCCTCAACCTCCACCCAGGCAGGAACTGCCGCCGGGCAAAGTCCAAGCGCTGGAGGTAGAACCCAGGACTGGGCTCCGCGGGCAGCCCTGGGTGCCCCAAACCCCTCACCCAGCCCCCCAGCACTTCCTCCGCAGGATCCAGGACAATGGGCAGGGGAGGGTGGGGTCATCCTGTACCCATCACGCCAACCCCCTGGGCTCTTCAGTGGGGGGATCCCTGTGAAATACCTGCAGGCGCACTCAGGGAGGAGGGGTCTCCCCCTAGAGGAAGCAGCCAGGTCGCGGCCCCAGTCTGGGGCTAGCGCCATGGCGTCCACCGCCCTGGGGAAGGTGCCAGGCTGCAGCCCAGGAATGTGGGTGACCTAGTGCTCACACCCTGGGAAGAGAGGCTGAGCAGCCCACGCCCACGGACAGGAGGGCGGAGGGCTGTGAAGCCAGGCCGGGATGCTGGGGCCCAGACCCCGGTCCTGCTGGGCCTCACCTCCCGCAGCCCTTCCTGGGCAGGGCATGGGAACGGGGGAGAGGGCCGGTCTGCCCCGGGACAGGAAGGGAGTAGCTCAAATCACAGAGGCCGTCTCAGGAAACGCAGCCCTGACCCCCCAGACCCTGAGCCCGGCAGGGACCCGCCACGGGCGCGCCGTCGCGGCGGATGGGGCAGAGCCGCGGGTGGGCCCGAGCCCGGCCAGGGCACCTGCGCCCCGCCCCGCCCGGCCAGACCCTCGCAGGCCCGCATCCCGGCCTCTCGGCGCGGCCACGCGGACCCGGCGCTCCCGACCCGCCGCCCGACGGCCGCCCCGGGCCTGGCACCTCTCTGCGCCTCCGCGGGACAAACAGCACATGACCGCGGCTCTCGCGGCCGGCCGGGGACCCCGGCTCCCCGCCCCCAGCCCGGCACATTCCTCGGCGGGCGTCCCCTCCCTCCCTGCCCCCCCCCCAGCTCTCACCTCGTCGCCGCGGGGCTCCCAGAGCGGCTCGGTGGGGAGCACGGGGGCGACCTTCCCGGGACGCGGGAGGCGGCGGCGGGCAGGTCCGGAGCGGGCTCGGGGCGGCCCCCGCCCCTCGCCGGGGGCCCGGGCGGCGGGCGGCGGACTCGCGCCCCGGGGGCGGCGGCAGCAGGAGCGGCAGCGGCAGCGCCAGCGGCCGGCGCCCGCCCGGGCAGCGCGAGCTGGGGCGGGAGCGAGGGGCGGGGGACCGGCGGGCGCGCGCACGCGGGCGGGGGCGCGCGCCGTCCCGACAGCCGCCCGGGAGCGCCCTGGACTGCGGTTAAAGGGGCGATGCCCTTGGGACTGTGGGGTCCACCGGGCGCGGACGGCGAACCGAGCAGCGGACGCAGAAAGGCACGCGGGACGCCGACCCTCGGGAGGGTTACGGCGCCGAAGGAGCCGGGCCGGGGACAAGAGGGGGGCTGGGGGCGGGTCCTGGAGGGGACCCAGGCCCCGGACCCGCGCACGTCGCCGCCGTCGGAGGCGCGCCCAGAGGCGGAGCCGCCCGTCGCGCCCCGCCCAGGGGTGGTCCCCACTGAGGCCCCGCCCCCGGCGCGCGGCGCGCAGGCTCCGCCCCTGGCTCCAGTCAGCGCCTCGCTCTGTCTTGCGCGCCCTCCCAGGCATTCTAGAAAGCCGCCGCGGCGCCGCCACCTCAGGTGCCCGGGCCGAGCGCGGGGGCGGCGCTGTCCTGTCCCTGCCCGGCCGGCCGCCGCCTCAGCCTGGAGTCCGTCTCGGGCCCGGCCCCCTCCCGTCCCCCGCAGGCTTCGGGCTGTCCCTCAGGCCGGGCCTCCGCCTCGCCCGGGGATGCCCTCAGGCCTGCGGCGACTCTCCCGCTCCGCGCGCCCCGCGCTGCCCGCTTCGGCCCACCTGTCTGCACCCCCCCCAGCACACCGAGACCCCCCCTTTCCGCCCTGTGAGGCTCAAGTGGCCCCCCGCGACCAGGGCCAGCTGCCAGGGGACCCCGCCGCGGGACCAGCCCCTCCCCCATCCCTCCCCCCTCCCCCAACTCTGGGCTTCCCCTCGGTCCGCTGTTGAGTGCCGCGCGGCTTCCTTAAGCTGCACTCCCGCCCGGGAGAGCGAGGGCACCGCTTAGACCCCCTGAGCTCGCCCCGGACGCCCCGCCAACACCCCTGCAGGCTCTCCGGCCTCGTGAGGCAGCCTTGCCTGCCCCGCCTTCTCTACCTGTGGTCGCCCCAAGTGCGCCACTCGACGGCCCTGCCCCCACGTGGCGTCCACGGACCCCCTCGTACCTGATTGCCTCCCGCCACTCAGTTCCCTCACTGCCCCGGCCCAGACCCCCAGACGCCGGCGCCCCAGCTCTGTGGTTCTTCGTCTCGGACCACACCCACGTTCCCTGCGCTCCCCGCGTGTGTGCGTGTGTGTATGCGTGTGCGTGTGTGTATGCGTGTGCGTGCAGCTGGTTGGCCTGTCCAGACCTCAGGAATAACCTCCTTTTTCCGGATCCACGCGGCCCCTTCGCCGTCTCTGCATCTCCGGCTAGTCTCGTCCCTGTTGCGTGAGGGAATGACTCGTTTTCCTTTATCCTCCCAGCACCAATGAGGAGACTCGGTCCGGCTGCCCAGTCCAGTCCAGCCGACCAGGTAGACGACGATGGAGACAACCTCATCCCCTTTGCCAAGTGAGTCCTCCCCGCCCAGTGGGGTTGGCATGGAGGAAGGTGGCTGGCGGCTTCTTCCCGGGAGAGCAGTGGATAATAAGGAACCAAGGAGGCCGCGAGGCTGGCCACGCGGGATCAAGGGTTCATCAACTTGTTCAACAAGTGGTTTTTGGGGTTTTCTTTTTAATCTTTTTAATCTTTATTTTTAAGAGCAAGAGAGAGAGAGACAGAGGATGATCATGGGAGGGGCAGAGAGAGAGAGAGACAGAAACAGAAGCAGACTCTAGACTCCGAGCTGTCAGCACAGATCCTGACACGGGACTCGAACTCACAAACCATGAGATCATGACCTGAGCCGAAGTCGGATGCTTAACCGACTGAGCCTCCCCGACACCCCCCTTTAGAAAACGTTTTTTAATTTTTAATATTTATTTTTGAGAAAGAGCATGAGTGGAGGAGGGGCAGAGAGAGGAGACACAGAATCCAAAGCAGGCTCCAGGCTCTGAGCTGTCAGCACAGAGCCCGATGCAGGGCTCGAACCCACCAAGCGTGAGATCATGACCTGAGCCGAAGCCAGAGGATTAACCCACTGAGCCACCCACGCGCCCCAGAAAAGTTTTTTTTGAACTCAGCATGTATGAAGCATCAGGGACTCAGCAGCTAGAAAGATCACAGAGCTTACGTTCTGGAGCGAGGAGACACAACGTCTATACAGAAATATAATTTTAATTAGTGATAAGTATTGTGAAAAAAATAAAATTGGAATAGGATATAATGGGAAATAGAGTGTCTTGGAGACATGAGTTTAGATAGGGTGATTGTGGGAAGGTGAGTTTGAATTGATACCTGAAACCTGAGAAGCAACCAGCCTGATAATAGCCTGGATTGGGGGGAGGAGAAGGAATAGTCTGGGTGGAGGTGGGGCGGGGGGGGGGTGAAGCCCCAGGAAAGAAAGAAGTTTGGTATCATCTGGGACCAGGAAGCAGGCCAGTGTCACTGAAACTTAGGGATCAAAGGAAAAGTAGACCTTCAAGCCAGACGGTCAGCCAGAGGCCAGCTCATACAGGACCTTATAGACCATTGAGAAAGAGGCCTGAGAGCAGTAGAAATCACCAGAAGGTTTTTTTTTTTTTTTAATTTTTTTTTTTAATTTTTATTTATTTCTAGGAGAGAGACAGAGAGACAGCGTGAGCAGGGGAGGGTCAGAGAGAGAAGGAGACACAGACTGTGAAATAGGCTCCAGGCCCCGAGCTGGCAGTCAGCACAGAGCCCGACGCGGGGCTCGAACCCACGAACCGCGAGATCATGACCTAAGCGAAAGTCGGACGCTTAACCGACTAAGCCACCCAGGCTCCCCATTCACCAGAAGGTTTTAAGCAGGGAAATGGCATGAGTAGATTTTTTTCTTTCTTCAACTTTTTTTAAGTTTATTTTTTATTTAAATTATTTAATGTTTATTTTATTTTTGAGACAGAGAGTGTGAGTGGGGAAAGGGTAGAGAGAGAGACACACACACATAGAATCTGAAGCAGGCTCCAGGCTCTGAGCTAGCTGTCAGCACAGAGCCTGACGCAGGGCTCAAAATCACAAACTGTGGGATCCTGACCTGAGCCAAAGTCAGAAACTCAACCGACTGAGCCACCCAGGCGCCCCTATTTATTTACTTTTGAGGGAGAGGAGCGAATGTGGGGATGGGCAGAGAGAGAGGAAGAGAGCATCCAAAGCAGGCACCAGCTATCAGCACAGAGCCAAATGTAGGGCTCCATCCCATGACCGTGAGATCATAACCTCAGCAGAAATCAAGAGTTGGATGCTTAACCAACTCCAACTGAGCCACCCAGGTGCCCCATTCAACTTTTTTTTTTTAATCCATTTACGTGGGGGCGCCTGGGTGGCTTAGTTGGTTAAGCGTCCGACTTTTGCTTAGGTCATGATCTTGCGGTTCGTGGGTTCAGGCCCCGCGTCGGACTCTGTGCTGACTGCCTGCTCGGAGCCTGGAGCCTGTTTCAGAGTCTGTGTCTCCCTCTCTCTCTGACCCTCCCCTGCTCATGCTGTCTCTCTCTCTCTCTCTCCTAGAAATTAAAAAAAAAAAAATCCATTTACGTAAGCTCTATACCCAACGTGGGGCTTGACTCACGACCCTGAGATCAAGAATTGCATGCTCCCCCAACTGAGCCAGCCAGCTGCCCCTCTTCAACTTTTTTATTATGGAAAATTTCAAATAAATCCAGAAGTTAGAAAAAACAACCACCACAAAGCCAGCGTACCCTTTTCAGTCTGATTCAGTAATTGTCATTATGTTGAATATCATTTTATCTATTTAACCATCCAGCCTCCTCCTACTCAGACTGTTTTGAAGTAAAATTAAACCCTATATTATTTCAGAGGACCACTTTTAAAAGATTACTCACACTGCTCCGGGCAGAATAGGTTACTGGTGGATTAGAATGGAAGCGGGGAGAGGTGGAGGAATCCATTCAATAGGCCAGGGAAAGATGGCCTGAAATATGGTGGTAGAAGTGGAAATGGTGAGGAGTGGTCAAATCAGGGGATGTTATATATATATACTTTTTAATTTAAGTGAAATTTTAAAAATTAAGAAACAGTTTTAATGCTTTATCATTTATTTGTGTGAGAAAGTGAGGGAGAGGCAGACAGAGGGAGACACAGAATCTGAAACAGGCTCCAGGCTCTGAGCTGTCAGCACAGAGCCTGATGCGGGGCTCGAACCCACAAGCTGTGAGATCATGACCTGAGCTGAAGTCGGATGCTTAACCAATTGAGCCACCCAGATGCCCCAAATTTAAGTGAAACCTTCTTCCAAAGTAAACAAATATGTGTGTGTGTGTGTATACACATACATAGTATATACATATATACACATATACACGTGTACTTTTGAAACTATTTTTTATTGTTTCTTCTATCTTAATCACAAGTTAGTTAGCAGTGTAGTCTTGGCTTCAGGAGTAGAACCCAGTGATTATCACTTACACTCAACACCCCAGTGTTCATCCCAACAAGTACCTCCTCAGTGCCCATCACCCATTTTTCCCTCCTTCACCCCCCCATCAACCATCAGTTTGTTCTCTGTATTTGAGTCTCTTTTGGTTTGCCTCCCTCTCTGTTTTTATCTTATTTTTCTGCCCTTCTGCTATGTTCGTCTGTTGTGTTTCTCAAATTCCACATCTGAGTGAAATTATGATATCTGTCTCTCTCTGATGGACTTATTTTGCTTAGCATAATACACTCCAGTTCCATCCACATTGATGCATTAAGATTTTATTTTTCAGTTATCTCTGCACCCAATGTGGGGCTCAGCCTTGCAACCCCAAGATCAAGAGTTACATGCTCTTCCGACAGAGCCCGCCGGGCCCCCCAAATCTGGGGTTATTTTTGATGTAGAACTGACATGAGTTCCCAGTGGACTGGACGTGGGAGTTGAGGGAAATGGAGGCATACCAGGTTTGGGGCTTTAGCAACTGGGCACTGGGGGTGCCTTTCCGTGAGGTGGGGAGGGCTCAGGAGGAGAGGTTGAGGGGGTGGTAGAACCTGCGAGCCTGGAGTCCAGGGGAAGAGCCAGGGCTGCAGATACGGATTTGGGGTCATTAGCACATTGGTGGTATTTACAGGCATGGGCTGGGCTGAGACCCCTAAGGAGAGATGGAGATGAGGAGGTAAGGGCCCAGGCCAGGCCCTGGGACACTGAGAGCGTCAGCATCCATGTGGGGACTCGGGAAGTGCTGAGCGTTGCTCATCAGCTCTGCACACCTCCCCTCCCTAGAAGGAGATCAGTCTTTCTGAGATGCGGGGACACAAAGCAGGGGTGAACAGAGGTTCAGCTCTGTTGGGCCCTTGCGGTGACCGAAGGGAACCTGGCTGTCACATCCCTGAGTAGCTGGGGCCCTCCTCTTTAACAGCCAAATGAGGTGCTCCCTGGTTGTTTGAGAGTCGGTGAGATCTGGGGTTCAAGCAGTTGCCAGTCTCTACCCTCGCCCCACTCCAGTCTCTCAAATCTGAGACCTCACCGTCTCCTCAGCTAAAATGGATAACAGAGCACGTGGCCTGAGGGGGTCCCCGGCAGCTGTGTGGTCCCATGGGAAGACGGGACCACTGAGTCCCGGGAGTGAGCAGGTGCTGTGAGGGGCGAGCGGGCCCCGAGCCTACCTTGTCCTCAGGTGCTCGAGGGTGGTCAGCCGACCTGCGCCAAGCCGCCCGCCCGCCCGGAGCCTCACGCTGCTGCCCCAGCGGTACGGAGCCGTCTTCTGGGAGAGCCTTAGCCAAAGGCCCAGGTGGGTAGAGACAGCAAAGCGGCAGGGGAGGGAAGGCTGTATAATTTTAAACTAAGCCCTGGGCAGTGAGCCGCAGTCTGGGGACACCTGGCCCACTGGCTGATGGACGCCGTAGCAACTACTGCCAGACAGACAGGTGGTCGGGACGGGCCGTCAGAGAAACAATACGGACGGGGGTGTCCTCTCTGCACGTAGCTCCCCGTTTGTGCTTTACAGTCCCACCTGGACGGAAGAACAGAACGTTCCTTCCCTGCTGGTAGGACAAACTCTGGCCTTTTACAGCACCTCTTGGTTAAAATGCACCCCCCACAGTTCTACCCTCAGCCCTCATCACCTCTGCCCTCCCTGCCCCCCCACCAGCGCACTGACCACGCCCTCCTTTCTATGCATGGTCACCGTGTTTTCCAGATCAAGCCTGTGTTGTCACGATCTGGGCTCCCCAAGACCCCCCGACTCCTTATTTCAGTCCAAGCTCTCCGAGACCCGGTCCTGCCCTCTAGCCCCTGCCCCCACCCCATTCTCCGGCACAGAGAGCCGGGTGCTCGCAGCCTCAGCCGGGCCTCTACTCCCTTGAGGGGCTCCCACCCCCTGAGGTGCTCTGCAGAAGGAAGAGGAGGAGGCCACCTTTGGCGGGAATGCAGCAGGGACCTGCTGGCACCCCGGCCCAAGTGAGGGCTGTCACTTATCACCTGGAGGACCTAAGGAGGCGGCAGAGAGTCATCAATGAGTAAGGAAGGACACCTGGGCAGGGTCTGGGGACAGGAGGGTCTGAGCTAAGGAAGGGAGTGGAGGGCTTCGAAGGACGCGGAGGCTGAATGGGAAGAAGGCCTGACTTGGTGCAGAACGTCCCCGTGCAGAGCGGGCAGCGCGCTGAGCGTGCAGGCTGAGCCTGGGGAGCTGGGCTCGGTGGAAACTGGGTCACGGGGGCAGGAAAGCAGTCCACTGACCTGCAGGGTGGTGGGCAGCCAGAGGCCACCCCTGGGTCCCCGGACGGAGGGTGCCTCCGTCCGAGGGCAGCAGGGACTGGGGGCGGAGGATCGGAAGAGAGGCGATGCCACCTCCGGGTTGAAGGAAGTATCTCAGGGCAGTAAGGTGAAGCCTCTTGAGGCAGGAAGCTTGGCCTCCGGGCGCCCCGTTCCTAAGCCTCCAATCCCCACAGACTGAAGAAGGCCCAGTGGGGCGACGTGGGGGCCGCACCTGAGCCCCTGGCACCCGCCGCTGCCGGCTGCGGAGTCCCCAGCACCGCCGAGGACCCGGGCCTGGAGGAGGCGAGGGCGGCCCATCCACAGGAGGGGGGCCGCCATGCCACCGCTGCCAGGGCCCAGGTCTGCTGGACAAGCCGGGCTGGGTGCTGGAGGGTGACGGGCGTGGATGCCCAGGGGTGGGTCGGGTGGCTGGATTGGAGAGGCACAAACACAGGGGGCGAGAGCGGGATGGGGGGGCGCCTGGGCAGGGGGGTGCGAGGACACCCGGAGGGACCTCCTTTCCCGTTCTTCCCTTCCATTCTGCACTTCTCTCATCCTTACAGCTGCTCTGGTCGCCCTGGAGCCCCCTGGGCCAGGGGGGGGCCGGGGTCCCCAGACGACTGGGCTCTCTGGCCTCCTACAGCACTGTCCCAGCGGCCAGCAACCGCCTCCACGCCCCCTGGGGCGCGGAGGTGCAGTCCGAAGAGTAAGGAGGGACCCTCAGGCCCTAGGTGCCCGCGCGCTGCCTGGGGGGCGGGGGCTCGCTGGCAGACCCGGAGCCCCCCCTTGTGACGCCGGGGCCTTATCCCTTCCGCAGCCTCTGCCAGCTACCTCCCCGCGCCTGGCACTGGGCGCTAACAGCCCCCTTAGCCGCCCGTGTCAAGCCACCCCCACAGGGCTCCCCACTGCCTGTCTCCCCGCCGCCCCGCCGGCTGGCACTGTGTTCTTTGCTCTGCTCGGGTATTAAAAAGCAAGCGCGTTGAGCCCAAAGTGTCTTTCTGCCCGTGGAGCAGTGACGGCGAGGCTGGCGGGCACGGAGGGCTGCGTCACCTTGACGACCCGGCTATGATGAAGTCGGGCAGGGCCCCCCCCCCGAACTCGAGGAGTGCCGCCGAGCCCCGCGCTTCCAGCCCCCGGGGCGGCCCGCGCCCCGCTCCCCGACCCGGGCTCGGGGCCGCGCTTCCGCCCCCCGGGACCCCCGAAGTCTGTCCCCCAGCGTCGGGCCGCCGGACCCCCGCCCCGCGCCGCCCGGGCTCTCCTCGCAGACCCCCATCCCCTTAACTGGGAGGCCCCGCCCCGTGCGCCGTGACGTCGGACGCCGCTGTCAGCGGGCGCCGGGGGGGGGGGTCGGTGTGGGGGAGAATGGCCGCTGCCGCCGTCACCCGCGGGACCCCGGGAGGTAAGAGCCGGGGCCTCGCGCCCGCCTCTCCGCCCCCGCGCCAGGGGGCGCCGCTCCTGGGCTCGCACGCCGCTCCGCCCGGCTCGCCCCCGCGCCGGCCCCTGTCCTCTTCCCCCGCGCCAGGGGGCGCCGCTCCGCGCAGGGCCCCGCGGCGGACCCCGCGCCCCGGCCGCCGCCCCGGCGCTCGCCGCCCCGCGCCCGCCGGGCTCTGCCCCGCGGCGTCCCCGGGGCACCCCTGCGTGCGGGCGGGAGGCGGACCCTCGCCCGTCGGGGCTTCTCCGGGGACCCCCGCCCGGGGCTGCTCCGCACCCTGGCAGGCTGCCTGGCCCGGACTGCGCACCTGCGCCCTGGGGCGGAGTCCTTACCCCGACCGGCTGCCCGGCGCTCTGCTGGCGCGGGCCGGCCTCCCCCCTCTCCGCCCCGGACACCTGGCGGAGCCGTAGCCGCGAGCGCGCGCTGAGAGCATCCTCCCGCTTCCATCTGTGCCCTCGGGAGGGTGGGGGCCCAGGCTGGAGCCCGGCGGGGAGATGGGGTACGGTGGGCCTGGAGGCCGGGGGCAAGCAGCGGCGTTTGGGGAGAGAGCTGGTGGGGGAGGGGTGGGAGGCCGTCGGCCTCAGAGTGGAGGATGGGTCGTCCTGAGGGAGGGAAGCCGGGGTCTGGGTACCTGGCCCACTCCCCGGCCCTGACCGACCTGGAGGAGAGGGCATAGGTTAGGCTCCGTCGTCACATCGGCCCTTCCCCTTGCAAATATCAAGTCGAGAAGGAACTCAGGGTGTGTCTTGTAAGGCCTAGCTCTCCCGCGGACTTGGATCTCCCGCCCTCCCCCAGTGTCGGGGCTCTCCTCTGCCCAACCATCCTCCAAGGACCGGGTGCCCGGAGTCCCACCCCCAGGCCCTGACCCCACCACAGCCGCGGCCTCCACAAGACCCCCCCAACACACACACACTCTGGGGCCTCTGAAGCGCCAGCCCACCAGCCCCCTCCCCTCCCCCACCTCACTTGTCTCCCGTCTGGGAGGGGGTGCCTCCCCACTGCTGCTGGTTCCTGGCACCAGGTCTGGAGCCCCCTCTGCCGGTTCCCGGCTCTGCTCCCCTGCCTCTGTCCAGCTCCTTCCCCCCGGCCTCCTCATCTTCCCTGGGCATCTCGCCCCAGCTCCACAGGCCTCTCTGTCTCATCCTCCTCATCCCGGGTCAGCGTGGGCCTTCTGCCTGTGACCTTGTTCTCTGCCTTCCCAGCACAGACTCCCCCTCCCCCCGGCCTCTCAGGCCGGGGGTGACCTTGCCCCCTGGAGCCCTCACCATGAATACCAAGGACACCACCGAGGTTGCTGGTGAGTATGCAGTCTGTGCTGACCCTCAGTTCCTGGTTCCTGGGTCCCTGCTCTCCTTGTCCTGTTCCAGATGCTCCCAGCGCTTTGGATTCGGCCCTCGTACCCTGGGCCATCACAGAGGTGTCGGGGGCCGCCCCCTAAGCCCTGCCTTCTGCTTCCCTCCAGAGAACAGCCACCACCTGAAGATCTTTCTCCCCAAGAAGCTGCTGGAGTGTCTTCCTCGCTGTCCGCTGCTGCCTCCAGAGCGGCTTCGCTGGAATACAAATGAGGTTCTCCAGGGAGCCCCAGGGGAGGAGGGCCAGTCCCTGGGGGGGAGGCCGGGGTGGGGGTGGGGGTCTTCCTGTGTGTCCATGCTCCTCAGTGCACAATATCGCTCTAAGCTTTTTCCGGGTCATGGAGGAGGTAGAAAGACCTGAATCTCGTAGGAGCTCACTTCTGGGCACATCCACCTGGGTAAAAATAACAGCTACCACATACAGAACCTTCCTTACAAACACAGCACTGTGCTGAGCGCTTGACCTGCGTTATTTCATCCAGTCCTCGAACCACTCTGTGGCCCGGACACTATCGTCATCCCCACGCGGTAGAGGAGGAAACTGGTCTACCTTGTGGAGTGTATTTGAGTGTAGAGCTCTGCTTTTAACCCCCACCAACATTGGCTCCTTCTGGAGGCACGGCCCCTGTGTTACACACCTTCTGTGCTCCGCACGCCAATAGGTTGTGTGCTCTTGCTGCTCAGTCATCACCGACTCGATTAATTCGTTACACGAGCATCGTCAGTAAAAGAGCATATGTGGGTGGTGGTGTTAAAAGTGCAGGAAGAATAAGGGCAGTGAGCAGGGCTTCTCGGAGATCTGGGGAGGGGTTTGCTCTACGGGACGGCTAGGAGGTCCAGGCGCAGCAGGCTGTGGGACACCGACACGCAGGAGCTGACTGCTCGGGGCATGTTCAGAGAAGAATCGATGGACCAGCCCCGTAGGAATGGCAGGTGGAATAAAGGTAAACAGGGGGAGCAGTGATTCGATCCCTGGTCTGAGAGAACCTTGGAGCCGGGCTGAGGAATCCGGAATTCCTGGCGGTGTCGAGCCTTTGAGCTTTTTTGGGTCAGGAGATGGTACGAGGATGGAATTTAGAAAGAGTGAAACAATAGGGCCGTGCGAAGAGCTGATGATGAAGAGATGGGACTGGACCCCAAGATCAAGGCCCTTGTCTGAGATGGAGCCGGGATTCTTAGGAGGCCGTGGTCCTGGCTTGGAGCACCCCGGTCGCCAGCCCCCACTGGCCGCCGGAACTCAGCAGAGAGTGGGGCCGAGGGCCGTGAGCAGGAGGCCAGGCTCCGAGTCTGCGAAGGGGACCCCCCCGCCTGAGCGCCCCTGTCTTGCAGGAGATTGCGTCCTATCTGATCACCTTCGAGAAGCATGACGAGTGGCTGTCCTGTGCCCCAAAGACAAGGTGAGCTTTGCGAGGTGGGGAGCGGTGGGGGGTCCCGGGTCCTGTTCTCCGAACACAGGGCCAAGCCTTCCTTCCCCAGGCCTCAGAACGGCTCCATCATCCTCTACAACCGCAAGAAGGTGAAGTACCGGAAAGATGGTTACCTCTGGAAGAAGCGCAAGGACGGGAAGACCACCCGCGAGGACCACATGAAGCTGAAAGTCCAGGGCATGGAGGTGAGCCGGGCGCCAGCCGTCTTTCCTCCGCCGGGTCTGGGCCTTGCAGGGCTGTGTCCTGGTCCCCTGCCCGGCCCCCCCTTCCTTTCTCACCCCCGTGGGTGGCGCGGCTGCCTCCCCGAGCAGCTCTCTGGGACGAGGCTCCTGGGAGGGCACCAGCCCCCCTGGCTTCTCCTGGATTCCCTCGGGCGTCCGCGTCCGGAACCGCCGAGCACAAGTTTCTCTCCCTCCTCCCAGTGTCCAGACAGCCCCTCCCCCGCCTCCAGGCCGGGCCCGGTCAGGGTGCTGGGCCTGGGAAGGCGCGTGGGGAGCCCCCGGGGGTGGGGGGTGGGTCGGGGGAAGAGCAGCTGCCGGAAAGGTTGGGATTCCTGCAAAGGGACTGAGCAGAGGAGGAGTCGGGGAGCAGACTAGCCCTCCCCCCACCCCAGCCTGTCTCCTGGCAGTGTCTCTATGGCTGCTACGTTCACTCTTCCATCGTCCCCACATTCCATCGGCGCTGCTACTGGCTGCTCCAGGTGAGGCCGCGGGGCTCAGGGGGCCGGGCGCTGTCAGTGGGGACCTGGGCCTGGGGAGGGGAGGGGAGGGAATGGAGAAAGCCACGGCTCGGGGGTGAGACTGGGGGGGGGTGAGGCTGGGGCGCCTGGGAAGAAGGCGAGTCCTAGTAACCCGAGACCCCTCCCCCGGGCCCCACGGCGCGGTGTGTGCGGCTTGTGCTCTCAGAACCCCGACATCGTACTTGTGCACTACCTGAACGTCCCGGCCTTGGAAGACTGTGGAAAGGGCTGCAGCCCCATGTTTTGCTCCATCAGCAGTGACCGTCGCGAGTGGCTCAAGTGGCCCCGGGAGGAGCTGCTGGGGCAGCTGAAGCCCATGTGTAAGGCTGCGGGTGGGTGGGGGGGGACTGCTGGGGGCCTCTACACCCAGAAGCACAGGGAGGGGGGGGCGGGTGCTTTTCCAAGGGGACGCCAGGACTCCCGCCGTGTCCTGAGGTCTGGGAATCCGTAGAGGGGGCTGGAGGACGGTTGGTAGTTGCACGTCCAAGCCACTTTGAGGCAGCTGCCTGGAGGCCTTGGAGTGCGTCAGGTGCTGGGAGAAGCCGGCGGGCGCTCTGTGGACTGTTTGTGCGAGTCCCATAGCACCCCGCCCCCGCCCCACCCCCACAGTCCACGGCATCAAGTGGAGCTGTGGGAATGGCACGGAGGAGTTCTCCGTAGAGCAGCTGGTGCAGCAGATCCTGGACACCCACCCGACCAAGCCCGCACCCCGAACCCACGCCTGCCTGTGCAGTGGGGGCCTCGGTTAGTGACCCCTGCCCCCCCTCCCCACCTAGCCATGCCGCGCCCCCTCGGCCAGCCGAGGGGGTCTCTGTCCTGCCAGGGTTTGCATGCAGATTTGCATGTCTCTTGCATGTTCCGGAAAGCTGGGCAGCAGGAGCAGAGGCCTTCCCGTCTGGGTGCACGCTGGCTCCTTTCCCTGGGGTTCCGGCAGCCCCAGCTCCTCCTCTGTCTCCGACCCGTAGCGACTCTGGGCCACCCCCGCCCGGCCGCTGACGCCCAGCGGGTACCGCCTCGGTTCTGTTCTCTTG